CGGACACACACACGCGCGCGCGCACACACACACACACACACACACACACGCACGCACAGCCGGGCAGCCCGCCGCCCACACGCAGCGCCTGCGTCAGCGCCGGGAGCGCCGCCCGCGGGCCGGGCGGGGGCGGGACAGCCGGGCGGGCGGCGGGGCTGGAGCCCGGCCCGCTCATGGCCCCGCCCCGCTCCGGGCCCGCCCCGCCCCTCCCCCTCCCCCACCTCATCGCACCAGGTGAGGCGGGGGCGGGGGGAGAAGAAGGGGCGACTCACGCGCGGGCGGGGTGGGGATTGGGGGGCACCGGGCTACATGCACCCGTTACCCAATAACTGCGGGAGGAGGCGGTTCGGGGCGTGGGAAGGAGCGCCAGGAGTTTGCTCTGGGGTCGGTCTCCCCGGTGTGGTTCTTCTGGGGTTCGGGGGGCAGCTGTGTGGCCTTGAGCAAATCGGTCCACCCGCCCGGACCTCAGTTTCCCCGTCCGTAGGATGGGGAGGCTGGCGCCTGCGCTGTGCACCCAGAAAGGCTGCAGAGGCTTCAGGTGAAGTCAGCCGCCTGGATTGTGAAAGGGCTGTCGCCAGGGAGACCGGCCAGGTGTGAGGTGTTGCCCGGCTATTTCCGGCCTGGCTGGGCGGTGAGGGAGGACAGCCAGCTTCGGCTGCGCACCGGCCTCCCCACAGCACAGGAGCGTTAATTCCGGTCCCTTAAGATGAATCAGCCCCCTCAGACCTGTCTCCCGGGGCAGTGTGAGACGGGTCAAAGCTCCTTGGCGGTCCTGGCTGGGTGACCTTGGGCAAACCTTTGCTCCTCGGGCCTCAGGAGTCCCCTTGGGAAAAGAGGGAGCCTCCTGGGGGAGGGTCAAAGATCACCGGGCAAGGGCCCCCGAACCTCCCTAGTGGTCTTTGCTTCTGTCGTTTAGTGTGTTGGGCTGTCTGGGTGAGATTTCGCTCAGATGAGGGGTGCTGTGGCTTCACCGATGGCTGTCAGCCACTCCCTCTAAGATAAGAGCCTTTCCCACTAAACTGAATGGAGCCAGTCCACTCGGAGCCTTGCTGAGTCTGGATGGAAAGAAGGCAGCCTGCTCAGCTGTGCTACCTCAGGCCGGTTACTCAGCCTCTTGGAGTTTGGGGTTCTTGGCGAACAAAATGCAGATAACAATCCCCGCCTCGTAAGGCTGAGGTGAAGGTTAAATGGGATCACCTCCAGATAGCTCCTGGCCCATGGTCTAGTTACTATAGACTCTAGTTCATGGCAACCACTTAAGGAACAGGCCAGACCTTAGGCTCTCAAGGTTATAACCATCACCTGTGCAGGAGGCATGAGTGATTCAGCAGCTTAAGAATTGTTTAGCGCCCTGACTGGTTTGGTTCAGTGGATAGAGTGGTGATCTGCAGACTGAAGGGTCCTAGGTTCGATTCCAGTCAAGGGCATGTACCTTGGTTGCGGGTACATCTCCCGCAGGGGGTTTGCAGGAGGTAGCTGATCAATGTTTCTAACTCTCTATCCTTCTCCCTTCCTCTCTCTAGAAAAATCAATAAAATCTAATAAATAAATAAATAAATAAATAAAAGAGTTGTTCAGCACCAGACCCTATGATCAAAGGTTGAACAAGGCAGGAACCCTCTTGAGAAGGGATTCCCAAATCATGGCCTTAACTCTCCACATCACCTTCACTTCCTAGATCCTCCTCCAGAGACCACCCTTCCACCTCTCTGGGCGTGTAACTATCTCCCCCATGGCCTAGGGATGGTTTGAATGCTCTTTCCCATCCCCATCTGTCCAGGATGATAGCTTAATGGTAAGATCTTGGCATCCAGTCAGGCCAGCCTGTATTAAAATTCCAGATCTGCTGTGAAACCTGTGACCTTAGACAAGTGGTTCTCAACTCGGGGGGACAGATTTTGTCTCCCAGGGGACACTTGGCAATGTCTGATGAAGGCTTCTTTGATTGTCACAACTTAGGGGCAGAGGTGTTACTGGCACTGAGTGGGCAAAGGCCAGGGATGCTGCAAAACACCCCATGATGCATAGCTCCTCCCCCAACGACAAAGCATTCTCTGGCTCATAATGTCAAGATTGCCAAAGTACAAACACCCTGCCTTCCATGCGTGCCTTAACCTCCCTGGGCTCTGTTTCCTCATCTGTAAAATGGGCCTAATACTAGGTTCTGCCTTGGAGAGCTATTGTGTAGGTCCAGCAAGGCAATGCGGATACTTAGTGCCTAAGCACAGCAGGTCCTCGTAAACTATCCCTTTACAATCCTAATTAGTCCACCTCTGGAATGCCTCCTGGATAGGGGAACTTGCAGCTGAGTTACATGCCCTTGAGCGGAATTTTATGGGGACCCTTCTGCCCATGGACCGACACGCTAAGGCCAAACCTGAAACCTTTTGGTGCACAGGACGATGCTGCAACTAACTGAGCCACCCAGTCAGGGCTCCATCCCCATGTCTTCATAGCCGCTCTGCCCAGATGAGGAAACTTAGTTAATCCAGGAGAACTGTCATCACCCAGCAAGTGAGTGAGAGGCAGGGACTGGAACCTGGTCCCCACCCAGTCACAACTTCCATCCCTCTCACCCCAGAGACTCTGCTCCTCGGGCCCGGCTGGCCTCCTGGCTTTCTCCTGCTTCTTCGGAGCCTGGGATCTATGCCCTGGCAGGAAGAGAGCCGGCTGAGGGCCCTCGGGGTCCAGCGTTAGGATTGACTGTTGAGGATGCAGGAACTTCAAACCCGCTTTGAAGTTCAGGTTTAGGATTGAGGCCATTTTGGTGGTGGTGAGGCAGGGGGCTCTTTGGAAAGAGTCTGGCGTGAAGTTTGGGGTGAGACTCCCCTCTCCATTCTCCGGCCTCTTTCCCCCAGAGGCAGGGAGGTCTAGGATAGGAAGAGTTAAGTGTGGCTTTGCTTCCCCAGCCAGGAGGAGAAGCCAGACCCGGCGGGACTGGGTGGGGCAGAGGGTGGGTGGCCAAGGGGTGCTGAGGCAGTGGGAACAGCAGGAGCCCTGTCCCTCACATCTCACTGGCTCACCCGCCCCTCCTCCACGCCTGGTTTGGGGAACGGAAGAGGGAGAAGCAGAATAAGACTTTTTTTTCTGGGAAGCCAAGCATGGGGGCTGCTCTCTGGGGGAGAGGGATGCAGGGAGGGGAAGCCATATCCCGCTTGGGTCCTCACCTGGGTGCTCACCACACTGCCCAGTGCTCTCCCAGAGCGGGGAACCCCAGCACCACTCCCTCCCAGGTACCCCCCTCTGAACACCGAGTCCCTGCCTTAGTTCCACTCCAACCCCTTCTCCATCTGAGGCCAGCTCCAGAACTCAGAACGGAGGGCCTGTCCAGTGTGCTTCCCTTGCATATTATGACAGGAACCCGGATGTCCTGGGGCTGTAGGAGTTAGCAACGTAATTTAATGTACCAGGTTTCTCAGGGGGAGGGCACCCGTGGGTGCCAGAACCTCAGCTCTCCACCTCTTTAGAGAAGAGGAGGTGGCCAGTGGGGCCAGGGTCAGAGTTAGGGGACAGGAGTGGAAGGACTGATCAAAGAGGTCCTCGGTGAGGCCGGAGTCCCTTAGCGCTTGGGGTGGAAAGCCGGACCTGGATGATCCTGTTTTGTGAGAGGACCTGGCCCCTCCCCAGAGCCTGCTGCAGAGCAGGCGGGGCCAGAGAGGGGTGCCGAGATTGGTGCCTTGCTGGCAAGGTTGTGGGGGGCTCTGCTGCCCCTGTCCTCCGCGACCCCATTCTGACTGCAGCCAAGATGGAGGCATCTCCTTGGCTGTTCAGCTCCCTGCCTTCTCCCCATCGCAGGCCCCTTGGGGAACCGCAAAAATCTGGGACCCGGTGTCCCGGCAACATGAGTGTGCACTCAGCTCTGGTATCTGTTTTAAATTATCCATTAAAATAAGTACGATCCTGCAGTTAGCAGGGTGGGGTTAGCAGTGGGAAGGGACTGAAGGGGGGGGGGGGGGAGAACCTCTTTTTCCAATTGCTTGCAGCCAAAGGAAGGGGGCTGGGGTTGCAGGGGGAAGCGCTGGGTCCTATTCTTGGCCTTCTCTGCAGATCTGTGGCTGGTTACTTGGGCCTTTTCTGGGGGGGAAGGGGGTGTGTGGCTTGTTGCACTGGTCGGTTTGGAAGGGAGATTAATTGGGGCAGAAAATGGGCAAAGGGGGACCCCAAACTCCTGGTCCCCACCCCAAAACTGAGGGCGTAAAAGGAACTCAGCATCTAGGACTTTGTTTGGCTTCCCCCAACTCCCCCCAGGGCCTAGGCATTCCTTCCCCACCCCATCCTGGCATACTGAGATGCAGCTTTGAATGGACTGCCCACGTGTGGAGGGGGGCAGGGGTGACTCACTATTACTATGGGGGGGGGGAGGGACGGGTGGTGGAAGAAGAGTGAGTCACCCCAATGGGCACCAGCCTCTGTTCCCCCCCCACACCCCTCTTTCCTGGATCTGCCTGCCTAGCGCCCTCCCTTGCTTTACACCCACTTTCTCCCCTCTCCCCACTGCCCTTCACCCACCCACTCTCACCCTTGGCTCTGCCCTCTACCCCTCAGGCCTGAGACTGTAGGAGGGTTGAGGAACCCAGACGGGAGCTTCAGCCAAGCTCCTGGCACAGTGGGGTGCGCGGGGGGGCGGGGGGAGGGAAGGGCGGGGCGCGACTCCGCCAAGGCTGGGCGGCCCTTTCCCCCTCCCGCCCCCGCCGCTGTGGGACGGGGACGGCCCCTTTAAGAGCGTGGCTCCTCCCCCCCGTTCCCAGGACCTATTAGAGCCTCGGCCCGGGCACCGGTGACTCAGTGTCCGCGGGAGCGCCGCCGCCTGTCCAGCCAACCCGCGCCCTGCGCCTGACAGCGCCCAGCCGGCTCTCCACGTCCGCCGGGAGCGACCGCCGCCGGGAGCCCGCCGCCGCCCGCCGGCCGCTGCGCTCCGACCCCGAGCCGCCGCCTCCACCCTCCGCCCGCGCCCGTCCCGGGACCCCTGCCCCGCGGGCAGCGCTGCCACCCTGCCGGCCATGGAGACCCCGTCCCAGCGGCGCGCCACCCGCAGCGGGGCGCAGGCCGGCTCCACGCCGCTGTCGCCCACCCGCATCACCCGGCTGCAGGAGAAGGAGGACCTGCAGGAGCTCAACGACCGCCTGGCCGTCTACATCGACCGCGTGCGCTCGCTGGAGACGGAGAACGCGGGCCTGCGCCTCCGCATCACCGAGTCCGAGGAGGTGGTCAGCCGCGAGGTGTCCGGCATCAAGGCCGCCTACGAGGCCGAGCTCGGCGATGCCCGCAAGACCCTCGACTCGGTGGCCAAGGAGCGCGCCCGCCTGCAGCTGGAGCTGAGCAAAGTGCGCGAGGAGTTCAAGGAGCTCAAAGCGCGGTGAGTGCGCCCAGGTGGCGGCGGCCGCGGCGGGCCCAGGTGTCAGCCCGCGGGCCATGCCGACTGGTCACCCCTGCCGGGCCCCAGGCGGCTGATAACGATGCCACAGAGTCTCCTCCTCCGAACTGCCCCCCCCGCGGGCGCCTGGCAGTGCCAGGGGAAGTCGCCTGGATGGGACAGATAAGGGAGGGTCTCTGGGAGAGGGTGGGGTATATATATAAGGAATGGTGGGGACCTCAGGGCCACATTAGGGACTTGGTGGCAGGCCCGCATGCAGTCAGGGGTAGGTTTCCAGTCGTCTGGAGCCTGGGGTAGGGGCTTGAGCAAAACAGAACTAGCCCTGCCCTGTCTGGGCAATCTGGGCGCCGCGGGGCACATGGGAGTGGGTGAAAGGGGCCTGTGAGAACTTTCTTGGCAGGCTTGGCACAGCGCCAGGTCTGCCCAGACTGGCCTGCAAACGCAGGATGACCATTAAGATGGAACTCCCAGGCTGGCAGGTGTCCAGTGGTGCTGGGGAGAGGTCACTAAGGCAGAGGGACCCCTTTTGCCCCTGCTGGGGCATGTGGGTAGTAGCCCTCTGGGCACTGACCCTTCCCAGGGTTCTTTCTAAGAGCTGGGGAGTTAAACCTTCCTTCCTGCGTGTCTGGGACTTTCCCTGGGCCCTGACAGGCCCACCGGGCAGCTCTCCCCCGCAGCTCCCACAGCCCTAGGCCTGCTTGGCCTGGAATGCGAGGGAGGGAGGGAGGGAGGGAGGGAGGGAGCGGAGGGCAGAGGCTCCACCTCAGGAAGTTGTGTTATGCCTAGGTCTGATGGCTCCTCCAGCCTCCCAGGGCCCGCTCTGCCCGGTGTCTGGTCTGGTTCAGGGCTGTGTCCCTCTCTGCCTCCCTGGATGGAATGAGCCACTTTCATTTTCCCAGCCGAGCCAGTCAGGGCCACCTTTGCTTTGGCCGGAACTCTTAGCCGCTGCCTTTTTGGACCTCTGCCTTAATACATGGCGGCTGGAATACAGTGACATTTTTGAAATCCAGCCGTTGGGAGCTTCAAGCCACTCCTACCTGGACCCATCCCATCTCAGCCCCACCCCACCCCACTTTACTCCACCCTCTTTTCTCAAAAGGCCTTTGGAACCTGGAGGGTTTAGGCCGTCTTTCAGCCCCCAGGAATTTGGTGTCCTCCTCTCTCTGCCCTGTTCTCTCTGACGGCTGGGACTGGAGAGCCGGGACAGTATGACTCACGTGGCTGGGCGGTGTCCTGTGCACCGAAGGTTGCGGGTTAGATTCCAGGTCAGGGCACTCGCCGGGAGTTTCAGCTCTGTCCCCAGGAGGCCAAGTGCAGGAGGCAGCTGACCCATGTTTTGCGCTCACATTGATGTTTCTCTTTCCTCTTCCTCTCCCTTCCTTTCTCTCTAAAAAAAATCTTAAAAAGAGAGGGAAAGAGAGCTCTAAAGGTGCTTGAAGATCCCTGTGTTTAAAGCAGGGGTGGAGGGGACTATGGTGTGAGTTCCCCTCCTTCTCTCCTTTTGCATCGTCTCCAAACTCTTGCTCTTTAATCTCTTCTCGTTCTGTATTCTTCCCGCTTTACTAGCCCCAGTCCCAAGTATGGTGGGGACGGCAGACCCATCCTCTTGTGAAGAGCAGATGGGCGTTGTGTGGAGAGAGAGGCTGAGCTTTATTTCTGTGGAAAGGGATCCCTCCTGGTTGTTGTTTTTGTTTGTTTTGTTTTGTTTTCACTAGAGATTTGAACTGTTTAGTTAGCACCGTGGTCGGCAAACTGCGGCTCGCAGGCCATATGCGGCTCTTTGGCCCCTTGAGCGTGGCTCTTCCACAAAATACCACGGCCGGGGCGCGTCTGTGTTGAAGAAGTGGCGTTAGGAGAAGTTTAATGTAAACCATGTGGCTCTCCAAAGAAATTTCAATTGCTGTCCTGTTGGCATTTGGCTCTGCGGACGAATGAGTTTGCGGACCACTGTCTCCAGGAGAGACAGGGGTCCTGGAGAATGTTGGTGTCTGTCCACGCCACCACCACAGCCCCCGTGGCGGACCCCTGCGAAGGGCATGTCTGCAGCCCTTCTTCTGGGGTGGATGCTGAGGGGGAAGCGGGACTAACCCAGGCTCTTCCTCTGCCTCCTGCGGCAGCTGTCCGGCCGGGCCGCCAGCGGGAGGTGTGCACACGTGGGGCAGGGTGGGGGCGGTGTGTGCGCTTGTTATATTTAGCCACCTGACTCTCTTCTCGCCCACGGATCCCGCCTGGGCTTCCGGGAAAGGGGGGTGGGTTTGCACATCTGGATCCCAGGCTGATGGACAGCCGGGCGGAGACAAAGGGGGCTCCGAGTGGGGTGACAATCCCCTTCAATGTCCCCAGCGGGAGGAGCTGGGCTGTGTTGCTTCCTTTTGCGTCTGCTGCTCTCAGGGTGAGGTAGAGAAGCGTCCGTGAAGATTTGGGCGAGGAGGAGAGGCATTGTCCTGACCGCTCCCTCCAGAGCCTAAAGAGATGGTGTTGCCTGGTTTAATGTTTAATGAGAGCTCAGAGTTCAGGGTCGGGCTTTGGGCTGGGATGCAGAGCCACCTGTAAGATCCCGGGGCTCGCCCCCAGGCGTCGGAGGCTCTCTTGTTGAGTTGGGTTATGGGCTTCCAAGCAGAAACTCCCCTCTCCTCCTTCCCCTCCAACACACATGCACATGTTCTTCTCTTCTGGAGCCTGAGTCCAGGGAGAAGGAGATTGAAAGCACCAGGGAAGGCCTGCCTGGGGTCCAGACTGGGAGCTGGGCCCCACCCTAGGCAGGACAGCTGGGTGGATGACTCATATGCTGCCCCCCCTCCCTCCCTCCCACCCCGGTGGCTTTACAAGAGACAGCAGGAGACCGGGTGGAGACTGCAGATGCCTGAATGTCTGCATCTCCATCCCAACCTCCTGCTCCCTACTCCCCACAACCTCCTGGGGTCCTTTCCTGCCTTCTTCCTCGGGGCCTCCAGGGCCTCCGGTGCGGTCTGGAACCAGGGCTCCGGGCAGACAGTGTGGTTCCAGAGTTCTGAGCCGCAGTTTGCAGGACAGCGCCGCGGTCTGTGCCTTCCCAAGCGGAACTGGAGGAGGAAGGCTGAGTCAGACGGGGGGATATCCCAGGCCCACAAAGCAGAAGTGCTTCTTCCATCCGGACGAGGCCTGTGCACCCGACAACTTCCTGGATTGCCCACCTCAGTGGGGACAGGCAGGGAAGTGTGGGCTCATGGTCATCAGAGCTCTCTCCTCAGGACAAGAATAGCGAAGGCCCGAGAGGCTCCGTGTCCCATGGCAGGGGAGGGACACGTTAGGGCGTGAGCACAAGTCCAGGTCTGACTGCTAGTTGAGTGATCACACCATTCAACCTCACTCCTCTATTTTAGGGACAGATGGAGGGTCAGGAGAGGGGAATGGGATGGAGTCTGGAGATTTTGCTCTGGGTCCTCAATGCTCTGCTCTTCTGCCAGGACCTGTTAGCACTTTATTGAGAGTATTATAGGTATCCCTCTCCCCCCATAACCCCCTTCCGCCCGGCTCCCTCTCGCTCCACCCCAGGCCTTCACCATCCCATTGTTGGTGTGTCCATAGGTAATGCATACGTGTATATAAGGTCTTTGGTTAATCTCTTCTCAGCACCCAGCCGCCCCTTCCCTCTGAGATTCGTCAGTCTGTTCCATGTTTTCATGCCTCTGATTCTATTTTATACATCAGTTTATTTTGTTCATTGGGTTTCTTGCCCATTTATTTTTATTTTTAGATTCAACTGTTGATAGATATGTATCTATTGCCATTTTATTGTGCATATTTTTTCTTTTTCTTCTTCTTTCTTCTTCCTCTTCTTAAAGAACACCTTTCAACATTTCATGGAGTACTAGGTTATTGGTGATGAACTCCTTAGCTTTTTCTTATCGGTGAAGCTCTTTATCTGACTTTCAATTCTAAACGATAGATAGCTTTGCTGGGTAGAGTAATCTTGGTTGTAGGGCCTTGCTATTCATCACTTAGAATATTTCTTGCCATTCCCTTCTGGCCTGTGAAGTTTCTGTATCAGTGAGCTTTCTCCTTTACTTCTCTATTTGTAGGACTTCCATTCAGACAGATTTCAGGCGGTTCTGAATGATGGTTGTTCTGTATTTTAGCTGTAATTTTGATGTGGTTGTGGGAGGTGGCATTTGCCTATGCCGTCATCTTGGTTCCCTTATGTCAGAGCCTGTTAACACTTAATAACAGCCTTTGCCCCGGCCTGAATGACCCAGGACTGACCTTGCCAGGCCATGGATCAGGAGGCTAATGATTTCTGTTTGGGGCCTTGTCATGGGAATTGTCTACCTGAAGCTGAGGAAGGATATGCCCTTAAAAAAAAAAAAAAAAGATATATATCAGAAAGGAAGAGAGAAATAGAAACATCAGTGATGGGAGAGAATCATTGATCAGCTGCCTCCTGCATGCCTCCTACTGGGGATCAAGCCCACAACCCAGCCCTGGCATGTGCCCTGACTGGGCATCAAACCGTGACCTCCTGGTTCATAGGATGATGCTCAACCACTGAGCCACGATGGCCGGGCAGGATGTGCCCTTTCCATGGAGGCCTTTGGGTACACCTGGGCCTCAGTCCTCACTTGAGGGAGCCTCCCGATGTTCTCTCTGCCTCTCTCTCCCCTCCACATTCTGATTCAAAGGAAAAGAAGGAGGCACAGCTAAACCCTGGGGTTGAGCAGTATTTGAGCCCAGGAGAAACGAGAGACAGTAATTCCTACCAGGGCCCCCGATGGCCTTCCCACAATCGATGCCTCCGGCTGCCACTTGCCCCGGCCTTCGGGAGTCTGACACTTGCTCTTGTTTGGGATGTGCCCGTTGCCCCCACTCCCAGTCCCACCCCCAGTGTCTCAGTATCAGTGTCAGGGCTGAAGCCAGAGACAGCTGTGGGGACAACTGGTAGGGGAAGCCTTCACCTACCAACTGTGCCTTCTGCTCCCCCCCCCCCCAGCCCCTTACCACCTCTA